GCCGCTCCGCGGCATGTGGGATCTTCCCGGACCAGGGCACGAACCCGTGTCCCCTGCATCGGCAGGCGGACTCTCAACCGCTGCGCCACCAGAGAAGCCCTATTTTCCTTTTTTTAACTGAAGTATGGTTGACTTACAGTGTTGCTTTCATTTATTTTTAGTACCTTTTAAAAAACAATTTCTTTGCCCTAGCCAAGAGATGAATAGGTACTTTACAAGTTGAGGCTTTCCTCTTCTAGAATTGAGTAAATGTATTTCAATTTTCTTATTAGCACTTAGATTTCTATGCTAACGGATTTGATCATTAGAGAATGATAGTATCTTATCACTGGAGTTGTTTACATTTTTGTTCAAACAGTCCTCAGCTTACCTTGTTTGTGCAGTTCAACAGTGTTAATGTGCCCTGTGAAACTGTTGATAGGTGAAGATTGAAATCGTCACTGATATTCATTTTAAGGAATTGCTTCAACTTTCGAGCAGCACGATATAAAAACGAAGCTTCCTATTGCAGAAAAAACATCAGAAGGGCTGTGTTTCAAATGAAATATTAAGAAGTGATAAGCTTTCCTAAGGAGCCTAAGGCCAGAACTGTCTTGCTAAGTAACACCCCACCTCCACCCCAGTTTTCTTCTATTCCAGTTTATCGCATGACTGAAGAGCAACTAGACTGAAACTGTTTAGCTTCCAGGTGACAGCCTAAAGTGCCTAGAACCCAGTTTAATGATTATCTGACTTTTTAAAGTCTCTTTTCTTTGCTATGTGTGATCTTATCGCTTATGAGTGAACATATAACAAGTTTATTCAATTTTAAACAAGATAACTAAAGAAGAAGTCTTCTGGGAGCAATAATAGTGAAAGGTATGTGTGACTTTTCTTATTGTTATTATTTTTTCCCTTTTTGAGCTATGGATGAATAGCTGGCAATAAGAAAATAAAGGGCCTGTTCACCTAAAACAAGTTTTTCAAATATTTAATGTAAGAAATAAAAAAAAAACCGAATTTATGGATATACTCTTAAATGCCATGAAGTTAACTCAGCTATTGTGAGTTTAAAAAAAGTCTATTGAATAGCACACTAGTTTCTGCAGAAAGAGATGATACAAATTTTTGTTGGAAGTTCTGTAGATTGTGATATTATACCAAATAGAAGTGGTAGTGGTTTGAAGATAAGCAAATATTGAAAGAAAAAATTTCAAAATGCCTACAACTAAATTACACCCGTTACTTGTGTGTGTGTGTGTGTGTGTGTGTATGTGTGACAAGCATTTTCCTGCATAAAAATTTCAGAAATAAGAGATATGTGTCTTTGAATTCAGCAGTTCTAGTATTTTCAAGGTGAAAATGAAATGCTAAAATTAAAAGAAATATTTATCAAATAAGCATAGGGCTATTTGTAAAATAAAAGTATAAAAGACCATAGTATAACTTAACATATCAATGGGAATTGTCGGGTTAGAGCCAAAAGACTGTGTTATTAATATAATCAATATAATTAACAGAGATATAAAAAATATAAGCTTCTATGAAATCAAGCTTGAATGACATATAAACTCCAAATAATTGTCATTACCTTATTATCATCACATGAATGTTTTTTAAAAAAGTTAGGTTCGTTATTCAGGCAATTGCTATCAAAGTCTATCATGCTGTCCTGTAATAAATAATATAAAATAATATGGTTAAACTGGGGACCTTTCTATCATGTAGTAATTATAAAAATAACAATGTTATAATACTTGGTATTTATATGTGCATTTTAAGGAAAATAACTTTAGTCTGACTTAGCTGACTAGGCAGGAAGAATAGTTATCTATAGTTGAAGAATAAACAAGTATATACACAAACCCTCATGTATTTAGAGCTTCCCCCAGACTCCATAGGTTAATCTCAGAAATCATTGAGAGAAACTGGCTTTTTTGGGGAAATAAAAGTACCTATTTTAGAAGTTATACTATATAGACAACGTACTACACATTTTGAAATCATGAAGTTGATATGCATTTAAGAGGTTATTTGGTCCAATTTTCTGCCACTATCAAACAGCGACAAAGGGAATTTACTTTAGAATGAAGGCAAAGCCTCTTGACAGTGAGTAAAGTTGAAATTCATTCTGCAGCATTTTAAATAATCCAATTGGGGATGTTTGAGGTAGAATTTAGCTGAGAAAAAAGTGAGATTGAATATGTGCATTGTCATTGTCATGTAAGAGGCGGGGAAGGTAGACTGGCACATTCTCATTTTTCTTTTCTAAGGAATGTAGTATTAGAATGTAGGGATTAGCTGAATCAAGAATGTGCTTGAGGGCTTCCCTGGTGGCACAGTGGTTGAGAGTCCGCCTGCCGATGCAGGGGACACCGGTTCGTGCCCCGGTCTGGGAAGATCACACATGGCACGGAGCGGCTAGGCCCGTGAGCCATGGCCGCTGAGCCTGCGCGTCGGGAGCCTGTGCTCCGCAACGGGAGAGGCCACAACAGTGAGAGGCCCACGTACCACACACACACACACACACACACACACACACACACACACACAAAGAATGTACTTGACATATTAGGAAGAATTTCCTAAGGATTCAGATTCTTTATGCACAGGATTGGACTAGCTCTGTCCAGCAAACTAGCCATTCCAAGCTATCAGAGCTTCTAGAAGGACTTCAAGCAATTTTAGCCTATGTGTTGTCATCTAAGGAACAGATAAAAAGTGGAGTAATGTCAGGATGTAATCATGGGCTTCCAATCTTCATCTGCCACTCAGAAAAATATGCATTACTCTTCTCACCACTGAAAAGCATAAATGGTCCCTGGATTCATCCTGACTTTAAATGTATCTGTTTTATCTATAGGAATTGCAGCCTGAACACGTAATCATTTATTTAACCATTCAACACTTACTACAGGCCAATGGGCAAAGTCCTCTGCCAAGCTTGATAGGGGAACAAAGACAAGAAAACACAGTCCCATTTTCTTATGCCATTTGATATAAAGGGCAGATGCTGCATCCTTGGACGCTTGTACATCACTTCTTATATTTGTAAAAGTATGCTTATGTAAAAAGAAGATTTGTTAGTGCCAAACATCCCAGTCATACTGCAAATATCTCAAGTGCAAATAGATATATTTTTCTATAACTATCCTCATGTTGCCATTATACATATTCCTGAAAAGATAGTGGAAAATTAATGTTTGCCTGTTAAATCATTTTCCTATTGACTTGCATTTAACCCTAAGAAGGATAATAAATCATGTATACATTTTCTCTCTGATAAAACATGCTTTTCATTTTTGCCATGCCATCCATCAAATAAAGAAGATAAACAAATGTGCAGCTAATCTGTATGGTGTTTTCCAATTTACCAAAAATATTATATGAACTAGTACCTATTTCTTGGAGCATTTTAACCAATTGCATGACACACGAACATTTGAAAAGCCATATTGGTTAAGCTATTTCATTGCTCCAGGTATTTAACAAAACTCATTTTTGGCAGATACCGAAAGGGTGTTTTTATACCAGGTAATTTGTTTGCCAGATGTGTACAGCAGTAGATAAAATTGTCACTTAAAAGGTTGACTCCTATAAAAGTCACAATTATAGTTGACTTGTTGACTTTAGTGCATTTTATGAATAGATTTAACATAAGCATACATGAGTGCCAACTACAGTTGCTTTCTGAAATTGTTTCCATTTAAGCCCTGTGAGAAGGGTGGCTCAGACTAAGATATGTAGAATCATGGAGTTGGAAAGAACCTTATATATCTATCTTTTGATTTAACAAATAGTAGAATTACTTTATCAGTAATAGTTTCTTACAGGCATCTTGACATATTTGAATATTTCTTCATATTTATTATGAATATGAAAGAAACAAGAGACAAGCCAAGATCACATTGACTGTGAACTCAGTATTTTCCAGTGTAAAACATTATGTTACATAAGTTGTTCCTAAAATATCAAATGTTCTTTTGATTTGTAGAATTGCATTTTCTTTCATTTTAGCATAGTTTTCTTCTATCTTTGAATTTTTTTCTAATGCATGTACAGTAGCCCCTTCCCCAGAAACACTAATTATATACACAGTTGATTTTCTATTTCACTTTTTTCTTTTATATATTTATCTTTGATTTTTTGAGATTCAATTTTGTGTGGTTTTCTCCAACATGTCTTCCATATGCCTGTTCTAATGGGGCACTCATGGTTACATGTGTTCTAAGTGAACTAATGTCTATTTACTGCCCATAAATGATTCTCATTGGCAGCTACATAACTGATAGCTGTCTCCTTTCTATTCTCCTTCTATTTTGTAGGTCTGGGCCTGAGGATTGGGGTTTTGATATGAAGAAGAAAAATTCAGTCTCGTGTCTTACTATTCTTTGAAAATGAACTTGATCCCTACAGAAATCTTTTTCATTTCTGATTATCACTATCACAGCACACTCACGGCCCAAAGTCTTATGGCATATAAAGACTCATTTGGAGGACCTTTTGAAAAGTGAAACATTTTTAATGAAATCTGTAGCCTGTATGAAAATTGAAAAGGTCTGAATCCTATTTCAAATATTACAAATTTTACCATTAGGTAGCTTACCAGATTATTGTAAGAATTGGTAGTTAATTCCTCGCTTAAATTAAAAGTCATTCATTTATTCTTCAATCTAATACTTGTCGAACATCTACCATGTGCCATATAGTAGTGAAGAGAGAATTGTGATCAAAATCACAGAGGGTTCCTTCCTTCAAGAAATTTACTGTCTGGTGGTAAAGACAGACATCAATCCAATAATCACAATCAAATCTCAAATTAATAATTGTTATGAATAAAAAGTATATGCTACCATAAAGCCTATAAAGAAGGATTTTACTTAGGAACCTCAGTAAAGCCTTCCCTAGGAAAGGAACACTTCAACTGAGATCTGAAGCATGAGTAAACTAGAGAAAAAGAAAATAGAGGAAGAGTAAAGATGTAGAAAACAGCATGTATGGCTTCAGTTAAGTGGGAAGGAATAATGGCAGATAGGCTGCTGGATGAAAGAGAGCAAGGGAAATCTGGTACATAGCTGAGAAAGCAAGAGAAATCACCGGTTTCATACGAAAGAGATCTGGAGGAAACTAAATTATGCTGGGGCTTAAGGACATGTTGAGGAGCTTTGTCTTGATCCTAAAATCAATAATTAATGACTAAATACCTTTTTCAAAGATCATATTAATAGCAGCATGGTAAATGGTTTGGAAAGGTTCAAGAAAGTATGTGTGTGAATCTTTAGGAGACTATTACATAGTGCTTGAAATAATGGTTTATTGGACTTGGTGGTGGGAAAGAATGTAGAGATAGGTGAAAAGACTTGAGAAATATTTAGAAAGCAAATATAACACTATTTGAGAATTAAAGTTAAGGAAGATTGACAGACCAGGGATGATTCCCGGGTTTCTGGTGTGTGCAGCAGGTTATACTGTGTTGCCATTCGCTGAGATAGGGAATAGTAGTAGAGATGGTGTGAATAAAATATGTTTGGTTTTAAACAGATGAAGCTTGAGTTTACATTCAGAGATCCAAGAATATACATAAAGAAGCCAGAAAGTTAGAAAACCTGGGGAATAGACTTTTAAGAAGGTGGTGATCCATAATATACAATGCCAACTGAAAGGTCAAGTTATTTTGTACAAAATCTATTCACATAAAGAAAGCAAAACTAAATTAGAAAAACAACTGATAATAGATGGTAAAATGAAATATTAAGCAGATATGATATTTGTTTTGAGATAATATTTATAAGCAAGAGCATATGCTTATAATAAAACATGCTTATAATAAAAATCCTTCAAAAGAAAAAGGTGTTATATATAAGCATATATTCAAATGTATATGCATATGCACAAACATGAACATATGTATAAGAATTGACTAATTAATCTTCATTTAACTTGCTGGGATAATCAATATTCTACTCCTTCTGTAAAACATACTGACTGGGCTTCCCTGGTGGCGCAGTGCTTGAGAGTCCGCCTGCCGATGCAGGAGACGCGGGTTCGTGCCCCGTTTCGGGAAGATCCCACATGCTGCGGAGCGGCTGGGCCCGTGAGCCATGGCCGCTGGGCCTGCGCGTCCGGAGCCTGTGCTCCGCAAATGGGAGAGGCCACAACAGTGAGAGGCCCGCATAACGCAAGAAAAAACAAACAAACAAACAAACAAACAAACATACTGACTAATCCTCACTCCAGTTTCTGATATACTCATGTGTTTTTGTATTCACAATTGGACTTGCATATTTACTAAGTCAATTCCTTAACACTAAGTTATACTTACTATTTAATTAGATCACTTAATTAAATACTATATAAGTCAAAGAATATTAGAATGAAAATACAGTTGTGTGTAGGACTTCCAGTTTCCAGTCTGGGAGGTAAGGAGCTTAGAAGTAACCATTCCATCATAACAACAAGTAAAATGCTGAACAAACTGAAGAATCAGCAACACTTCTTATATCTGTCAGAGAAGTGAGGTCACAGGGTAAACTGCCTCCCCAAATATTGGAGAAACAGACAGCTGATGCAATAATTCCAATTTAGAGAACCAGAAACCCAGGAGCGGAAACCTCCATGTGAACCAGTACTGGGATAGAAAAACCTGAACTGTAATTGATGAATTACTGGAAG